AAAAAAAAAAAAAAAAAAAAAAAAAAAGCACTTGAAGGTGCTTTTCATAATTTTGACTTGAAAGCCTCTATCGTTAGTTTCATCCAACACAACGCATACTATTCCTAAATACTTGCTAACCACAGTTTCTAACGCTAGCTCATGCTTCTATATATCCATCTCACTAATGTTTCCATGCACGAAATCATAGTAACTTAGTAAATATATATAATAATTAAAAAATACTTTCCGTTAGATAAAAACTCAACAAATTGTTTTATCATTAAACACGTTTTATTAAGTATTTATCTGATATATTTGGATAAAAACACTTCCTAGCACCAGAAAAGCCACCGTGAAACTGGTTCCAAACATATCCAAAAAAAATACGAGTACTGCAATTCACTGTTCTAGGATGAAAAGAAAAAAGAGAATAAAAGAGAGAGAGATCAAGTCAGTTTCATGAATATACCTTGCCGGCGCAAATAACACAGCTAGTGTTTCTGGAAGGAACTTGACAAAGCATATTATCTCCGAGAATAAAGAAGCCCGTTCCCTTACACCATTGGCACTCCACATGTCCATTTGAGTGGCAAGAAGAGCAGCAAATAGGCGTTGGTTGCTGTCAACATATAATTAGGACTGTTAGGCTCTTCATGATGTCGAATCATCTCGAGTTCGAATAGAAACACACTGGATAATTTTTCTTTCGAACATTGTAAATCATATTACAATAACATGATGAACAGGTAACATATATAAGCTATGAATAGGCTTGTGGAAAGCAGAGATCTAAAGGATTTGAATATTCTACCACTATGTTCGTGAAGACAAATGTTAATTCTAAGCTGACATAGCACAACCGAAGAACCAGAGGATAAGGAAATCACCGGCTCCTAAGCCTGATCGCATTACAGCAGAAAAGAACATAAGCGGACAGGCAACGCGTTATGCTATGAGGACTGGTTTCTTCGATTAGACTAGCAAATGTTGCCAGAAATCTTTACAGACTAAGCTAGGTTCAGCGGATTAGGATTAGGAAATTTGCGGTTCCTATTCCTCCTCCTGACCGCGTCAGACAGGGAAGGAATGTAAGCAAACAGACTCGTTGAATTATCAGGATTAATTTCCGAGATTAGGTTCATAAACATCGCCATAAATGCTAGCAGAATGTTAAAGAAAATGAATATCGCAATCTCGTTGGAAAGAAACACGGCCTAAGAAACAGGAAGAAATCATCTACTCATTCTACCGTCGCTCAAGGACAGAAAGAGAGATAGGTAAATGAAACAGTTACGAAATGAAAGGAAATTACGAGGAGTGTAGAAGATCGCGAGTACCTGAGAGATCTCCCATGCTTGTTCCATCCTCTTGACGAAATCCGAGCTTCCATAAGAATCCACCATAGAAGCTCGCGCGCCACAAATCCTAGAGCTCAGTAGCCTCGAATCGGTGAACGAAACACGATTCGCAGCAAACTCTGAGCCGATTAGTATGATTCTCGTAGAAGAAAATCCTCTGCCGTCAATCGATTTCGCAATAATCACAGGCCTGAAACACACAGAACTACTCATTTCTCTCCTTTACTTCTCTTCTCAATCACGTTCCAAAGCAATCGGATTCTTCCTGTGCGATTTCGTTCGAAACACGAACCGCCAGAGAAGTTTTCTGGTATTCAAAGAAATACACGGAGCCGAGAAAGTGGAAGATATCTTGGAGGGTTTCTTTCGGGCCCGCCTCATTTTCGACGAAAGAAAATTCGTTTTTGCATCTCTCCACTTGATTTCTTCTTCTTATCGTGTCGAACTTTAACCCCTCCAACTCAAATCAACCATCGTTTTGGGCCTACTTAGGCCCATTAATAGCCCATCTCCTTTCTTCGGCCCATTAAGACGTTACACGTCGGACATTTTAAAGCTCTCGTCTACAACCACAACGCGAACTTCCTTAATTATTTTTCCCGGTAAATTTGAATCCACGTGGAACATTTAAACATTCAGAGTTACGGTTATTTTTTAACATTTAACGAGTTTTCAAATTATTATTTTTTTTCTAAATTTAATATATGTCGAGAAAGATCTAATATGTTGTTCTTTATATTATTAGCCAAACCATTGCTTTCTCGACTTCTCGACACATAATTATTGAACAAAATAAAATGTTATTATTTCTATTTACCTAATATTTATTAGGTAGGGCTAAAAACGTCATTTAAGAAATTTTTCGTATTTTAATTGTAAAAAATTATTAATTAAAGATCTCTCGGGTAAATTCTTCCTTCCTATTTTAAATTTTTAGGATATATTTCAGTTTATTAGAATGATAAAAAATATAAAAATAAAATAAAATTTCTCACCCATAAACCAAATCAATTTTTATTCCGATTTTTTTAAATTTCAACTCAACCCAAATCAATAAATTTCTCACCCATAAACCAAATTAAGATTTTGTTAGTCGTCACCGTCATGTGAACACCAGTATCTTTAGTCATCTCAGGAATATTAGAAGTTTTAGGCTATGTTATTCAAATTAAAACGACAATTGACATTATGTCCAGTGTTTTCAAAAAGAAAGACTTATGTGACATCATTCACATAATTTAATACGATAGTTGACGCGTACAAGTTTATGGTGTGAAATGATATTTTTAATAATACAACTTAAAATGAAATCAATGCAGACAATAATTTAAATATTTATATAAGTGTAAATAATCTAACGTAATTCTTATAGAAATTAGAAGTCCTGACATAATGTATCTCTTAATTTTTGCATACAAATTAAGATTTTAATAGAAAATATAATTTTCAGTATAAATTTTAAATTTGAGAGATAAAAAATGAAAAAAAAATCTAGAAATAAAATCGATTCTATTATATATATATATATATAATTTAGCTACAAATTTATAAATAAATAAATAGTAAAAAAATAAAAAAAGAAACAGTACAGGACGCAAGCTTATAGGTACCGTTATAAAGATCATCCTCGGAGGTCAGAAAATAATTTCCAAAAGCTCAAAAGCACTCCACTCCCTCTCTCTTTCTCTCTCTCTCCGATGGAAAAGCATCTAACCACCATCTCTTCGCCACCGCCGCCTCCGCTGTCAACTTCTCCGACCACCTTCGTCCAAGCCGACCCAAACTCCTTCAGAGACCTCGTCCAGAAGCTCACCGGCTTTTCCGGTCACTCCGAAAAGCTGCCGGTTACCCACCTCTCCAAACTTTCCTCTTCGAATCCCTTACCTCCCGCCACAGACCATCATACCGGTCCCCGCCGGTCTCCGTTCAAGCTCCAAGAGCGCCGTCACACAATACGAAAGCTAGAGATCAAACTCGGCCCCACTGGAATTTTCAAAAACTCGCCGAGTCACCCTCGCCGATTCGACTCGCCCATTCCGAGTCCGGTTACGCCTCTCGCCGCCGAGTTCCGGTTTTTACGGAAGCCCAGCGCAGCCTCGCCACTGACGCCGCCGGTAACGGCAGAGGATAAAGCCATAGCCGACGGCGGCTTTTACCTTCACCCGTCTCCGAGGAGCTCACAGCCGCCGGAGCTCTTGAATTTGTTCCCGTCTAAATTCGCCAATTGAGCAATCTCAAAATGCATAAAAGAACGAAAATGAAAATTGGGGGTTCCTTTTTTTAAGCAATGTCTCTGTATATTTTTAATTTTAGTGCAATTTTTTTCTTTTTTAATTTTCGAGGATCTTTAAGCTGATCCATTGTAGTTCTTGAATTTTATTTATTTCTCACGGTCAAATTTCTTCATTTTTTAAAGCCAATATTTATTAATTAAAATAATAAAACCTAATTTTTCCAGTAACCTTCAAATTTCTTTAATTTAATTAAATTGTATAAAATGGAAGGAAAAAAAAAACACAATATCCTTTTAAATGTAATTTTTCAATATTTCAAGTTTCAAAGTGTCCTTGGGATAAATTTGTTTGAAATGTTTGATTCCCTCAGGGTTGAAACCTATCAAAAAGTTTTTTTGTTTTATTATTTTTGTCTATTTCTAACCGATTAAAATTTTAATTTTAATACATATTTTTTTTTTATTGAATTATGATATAGGATAAGATGTATATTTTAAAATTTTAAATTAATATATATTGTTTTTTTTTTGTTCAATTTGTTACCGACATTTTACATGTGACTATATTATTAATTTTTTGTTGTTATATTTAAAGTTGAAATGAGTTTAATATTAAAATATGAGTAGAAAATATTGTGTTTGAACTCTTAAAATCTAATTTTTTTTATTGATATTTATTTTCACTTATTTATTTATTTTATTTCCTTCCAAATTTATAAGGCTATTATTAAAGTTTTTTTTTTCTTTTATCACTTGTTAAACTAAAAAGTTATATCTCAAATATTTTAATATTTTAAAATATTTATTAAACATTCATGTAAGAAAAAAATGGAAGTAAATAGAGATAAATATCAAATTAAGAAAAAGATAAATAAGTTGGGACACGAAATTTTGTCAAAGAAAAAAATAAATGTGACAATAGACATTGAAAACAAAAGTCCACGAAGACACATTAGTGGGTCCCACCCTTTAGCTGTAAGAAAGAACATCGACATGGCTTTGTAGTGGACTTGACGCTGTCGTTCTCGTAAACGGAATATATGTGTTGTGGGGGGCGTGAGCCGTTGGATGGATTCATTGAACGGCGGAGATTTCAAGTTTGATAGCGGCTGTTTTGTCTGAACACGGCACGTGTCTGATTGGACCGTTTGAGAGCTCGTAGCTTATCCTCCAATCTTGACAAATGCACCTCACGGTATACGATTTTCTGTACACGTGTCGGTTTCTGTATGGTCCGCGACAGGAATTCCGCACGGAAAATTGACTTCATTTCTTTACGCTTTTTCAACTGACTTGTGTCCCAATACCTTTTCTTTTTTTTACCAATTACGTCAATCCTATTTTGTAAGTTTTTAATTTTGAAAATAAGATTATTATTATTATTTTAATAAGTTGTCATCTACTCGATTTTTTTTTATATTTTTATTTTTTTTTTAAGTTTGAAATGAATTCAAAATTTAAATAATAATAATAATAATAATAATAAGGGTTTTATTCTAACATTTAATAATATACGAAAATCATTAAAATGTTTTCGATTATCTTTACTTCATGATTAGTGTCGATCGTCACTATTGGCTACTGTCATCCACTATTGACCACCATACCTGGTTGACGCATAATTTTCACGCGTATATAGATTTTTAAAATGCATAGATTAATAAATTATTTAAAAAAATAGAAATATGAAATAAAAAAATATATATATATATATATATATATATATATATATATATTTTTTTTATTTTTTTTTAACGAGAGAGGCATTATTATTTTTTCTCCTTCATGATAAATTTAATGGTTAATTTGATAGAATTCGTAGGGAATAACCATTTAAATAATTATGTGACTTTTTAGATTTGAATCAAAATTAATTTTTAATTCTAAAATGTACCATGCAGCTTGCCTTTAAAATTACATATCACGGAATAGCTGTAATTTTATTATTGGAAATAAAATAGATAAATTCGTTGTTGTTGACCACGTGTGTTTGCTTTTCGAATAGATTAATGTTGTATGTAGCTTTGCGTAGCCATAAGACCCATAATATAAGACTAACATTCCACTCTAAGACTAAGACGTAATCAAGCCAAAGACGGAAAGTAGATGCCAAAACAAAAAATGGACTGGTAGATGGATATTAATAATTGATACTTCAATTCTATTCATTGAAAGCAATGTAAAATTGGAGTCATGGATTGTTTTATATGAATTATCATGAACCAACAAATATATAGTTCAAATAAAAAATACTAGCGTTAACTAAAATTGTGCATTCGAGCATCGATATTTGAATTTTTGGTTTAGAAAAAAACATGTTGATTATTGCCACAATTTATCGAACACTCTTTTGAATTGACGTATTAATTTTGAACATTCATTGTCGAAATAAATTTAGTACAAAAAGTAATTGAAAGTAACTAGATTTGAATTGAAACCCGAGTAAAAGAGGGGTACGTGAATGAATCGAGACTACGTCTATTCAAAGTTTTAAAATTTTATTGACATATTGACACGACACTCACCGTCTTAAATTTGAATATGGTAGGATGTATTTAATATATTAATTAAAATTTTAAAAGTTAAAAAGCTTAATAATATATTATAGGGTTCAAAATCTAAATAATATAAAATTTGTGGATAAAATTAAATTAAGAAATATAAAATGTTAAGATAAATATTGAAAATTAATATTTTCAAACAAATTGTATTTTAATAATTATGTCACGTTAATGATCGACAACTAATATAGTCTAGGGAGAATTTATTCAACCTTATGATTGAAATAAATAGAATATGAATATAAATGCAACAATTAATATTAGACAAAGAACTTTAAATTCTCTTATGATAAATAATAATAATAATAAATAAATAAATGAAAAGACATATCCTCTAATATCGTGGGATGTCCCTCAAACAAAGCTTGACATATAAAATAATAATAATAAATATAAAAAAACAAAATGTATTTTTTAATTAAAAAATAGAATAAAAAGGGGGGGTTTGAGGTACATTAGGGTCAAAGGAGTTGTCAAAAATTGTCACCACGAAGGGGCAAAATGGGAATGGCATCATGATTTTGATGGAGTGTTTGGGGGATTTGTTCTTATTCTTTGAAATGATTGCTACCAAAAGACATTCTCTCTACGTAATAATATGCTCTTTGAACCTTTTCTTAAATTGTGGAATTCAGCATATGGGGTTATGATTCTTGCCACTTTTGTTCAAAAATTCCACTACTTTTTGTTTTTGTTTTTGTTTTTTTTTTAAGTGAATTTTTCTAATACTATTATGATATATATATCTTTTAATTATTAACCTTTTTTTTTTTAATTTCATTTTGATTGATAATTTTTCTATGGAAAAATAATGGATTACATAATTAATAATCGTGTTAATTGATTAAAAATTTAATAATATATTTAAATTATTATTACGTATGGATGACCTAAAATTAAACATTTTTAGAGATTTTTATTTTTATTTTTATATTTTTAATAAACATATCCACTAAATTTGCACTTTGTTTTAAAAAATACATTTAAAATTTGAAATAGTTCAATAATAACACTTTTAAATTTAAAAAAATCTAAAAAATATCTTTATTAGGAAAGTTAAATTAGATTAATTATTTTAATACCACGTGTTCAAAAATTTTACCCTTAAATATTTTTAACAAATTTAACAATGTTAGTGTTTTATTTTATAAAAAATTCAGTATTATATTTGAAACATGGTAAAAAGTTAATTAGTGTTTTAAAAATAAAATACTAACGGTCTTGAGATTTTGTTCTTAAACCAAAATCAAGATATTATATTTTGAGATTTTGTTCTATTTTAAATTTTTTTGGAGGTAATATATATATATATATATATATATATATATATATATGAAATAAATTAAAAAATTTAAGGATATTTTATTAATTTAACCCAAAACAAAACCATAGATAGTTGGCTTAATTATATATACTTTCTTTTCATTTACAAATGGGTCGGGCCAAACAAATTCATTTATGGCAATGGGCCGAAACCCACATCGGATGTCCTCCGCCCAAATTTGGCTCCAAAAATTATCGAAAGAAATAAAAAACATATGGATTAGAATTATATATATAACCAAAAACTGGCCTAGATTATAATTTCTTTTTGAAATTTCAATTAATCTGATTCCGAATTGCAATGGCGGAAGGATGTTAATCGCTTTGTAATTTCTTGAACATAATAAATAAGCCTTCAAATACGATTAGAAAGAAGCGCTGCAAAAGGATCTGAATCTTGAACACCGTAGGCGACTGAGCGAGTTTAAACTCCAACTCCTCCATCTAATAATTGGAAATAGTATTCTGAATGGAGAAGGGCAAAGGATTGATGGTGGACGGCCGGCGATGGGCCGTTGATTTCTCCGACAATTCTTCGTCGAACTCGACTCGCGACATTGTTGATCCTCCTGGTTTCACTCGTGCTTCTCAAGATCAGGACGATTCGACTCTCAGCCGCCAAAAGAAGGATGCTGAATCCAATTGGAAGGCACAGGTGTTACTCGGAATTCTATTATTTCGGTCGATTAGGGTTTTTTGTTTTTTGAATCTTTTAATTTCCTACTCGGATGTTATTTTGAGACTGTTCGTGCTTAATTTTTCACGTATCTCGCTGGATTGTAGTATTACCGTTTTTTAAGCATTTCCGATCGACTGTTGAATCTGTGAGTAGTTTGAGTTTTGGAGTAAATTTAAGCATGCTCAAATGTTAACGAACTATCACAATGCTTTCTTTCTATGTTTTTTAATAAAATTCTAAGGATGAATCTTTGTTCCACGATGTTTAATTCTACGTCTCTGCGCTCCTGCTGGTCTTTTTTACCGTCAACATGAATTTTATTGTCAAATGTAGTTAATCTAACCGTAGAATATACGAGCAGAAAGCTTGGGAAGTGGCCCAGGCGCCTTTGAAGAATTTGTTCATGATGGGCTTCATGATGTGGATGGCTGGTAGCACTGTTCATTTATTTAGCATTGGTATCACATTTTCAGCTCTTTGGCAACCCATAAGCGCCCTGCAAGGCGTTGGAAAGGGTAGGATTAATATCCATTCTCATTTATTTAGCATTGGGTTTTTTTTTTTTTTTCCATTTTCATTGTTGACTATTGTACCTCTCCTTGTCTGATTTTGCATTAAGCTGGCTTGTAATGGCCAATCTGAATGACTCAGCTTCCTCTTCCCCACTTGGTATCGTTTTTTCTTTTGCTAAATTGAGCATGGTTAGAAGAATCTTCTGATATGAACTCAGACACCAATCATGCAATATGAACTTCAAGGAAGATGTGAAGAAAACGTTGTTAAAATTATCAACATTTGTTTTAATTCATGCCATATTGAAGAAGAATCAAGCTTCATTGTTATAAGTTTTGGGTGGATCATAATTTAGAGATATGAAGTTTAGTCAATGCATTTAAGACTTTTTATTTACTTTAGGTTACATTTACATAGTGGTTAATTATGGTTATAAAGTATGAATATTACCATTCTTGAAATGCCTAATGGAATGTCAAAAGTTTCTTTTTGAGGCTATATAAAACCATATATGTTGTATATGTGAAAGGAGACTAGGAAAATGTAGTAAAAAGACATTTTTACTTTCGTTTAGCCAAGAGCTAAGTTTCTTTGCAATTCTACGTAGGTTAGATTGCATGTTTAAAATAATTCAAGCTTGACATGATCGATCTTGCTCGTGGAGTGATTCGAATCTCAAACGAGTATTCTCGCCTTGAGATATTTGATCAACTAGATAATCCTAATCTTACTTCCCTTGTAGTGATTCCATACCATTTAGTATTAGAACTTTCCCGTGGGTTGATTCCTTATTATCTTCCAATGGATCTATGTTCCTCATTGAGGCTCTGCAAAGAGGCACGTTAGGAGCGTAATGATATTATATAAGCTATACATTTTTGAAGTATGTTAGGAAAAATTATATAACTTGTGGGATGTTAGTGAATTGATTTAAGTTGGTTGATCATATTGTTGCTTGTTTGTATTGATATTCCTTTTCCCCGCAGTCTTTGAGCCTTACAAGGACAGTAAAGTTGATCTTCTTGGACCTAAGTTGCTGTTTATTGCCCTTAACCTCGGAGGCTTAGCATTAGGTGTTTGGAAGGTGAGTTTTCTAACTATTGTTCTCAGCATCTCTTTAGTATTTATCGATCGCTGCTTAATTTTCCGACGTTTCAAATGTGGCTCTTGCAGCTTAACACTTTGGGGCTTCTGCCAACTCATGTATCCGACTGGGTTTCGTCTCTACCGCCTGCTCAGGTTAGAATCTTACTCTTATGCTAATATGATTACCCCTTTGCCCAGGCTTGAGCATGTCGCCTAAACTATTCGCAGATTTCTGAAATGATATATGGAATTTGTTCAATGGTTGGAATAGCTTCATACCCTGGCAGCTCATAGGCTTCATGTTTCAATAACATGTCGTGGTAGTCAGATACAGTGTTAGGATGCAAGTTCCCCATGCTTTAATTTTTGTTAGAATGCAATTTCTATGGTTAATAATCAAGAAGAAATATTTTGACAATTGGTTCAGTGTCAATAGAATTTCTAGGTCATCTATTTGACATGTGAGATCCCACGTCGATTGGAGATGGGAATGGAACATTCTTTATAAGAGTGTGAAAACCTCTCCCTATCAGACGCGTTTTAAAATCGTGAGGCTGACAGTGATACGTAACGGGACAAAGTGGACAAGCGGTGGGCTTAGGCTGTTAACCCTCCTTAGGCATTTCTAATGTGGATTGAGTTGTGATTATTAATGATCGGCAGCGGAAAGGTCGGTTGTAGTTAGCTTTACTTCAGACTCAATTTAGTTAGGTTGGTGGGATGGGAGAAAATAGGAGGGATGAATAAGGTAGGAGAGAAATGAACCTGATCTATCGCTCAAGTGGTCAAGGCATTATCACTTCGACCGAAAAGTCAGAGATTCGAATCCCTATTTGTGGGTGAAGACTCCACTGAGTCAATCTTGGCACTGAAACTCATAAGCTGATGAAACATGGACATAGTTGGGATGTGTGCTTAACAAAACAATAGTAATTTGTCACGTCTTTTCATTCAACGAACGTTTAGAGTACGAAAATAACACTAGTTTTGATCAGTGCCATCACCTTGAAACTTTGATGTTAATCCTTCAATCCTCGGTACCATTGCTAAAGATTCATCATCTTCTTTCTCAGGAGGTCGAATTTTCTGGTGGTGGCATTTCTCTTCGTTAAGATACACACCGCTTCGAAACCGACCGAGGAAATATTGTAGCTGCTTGTTGAAGATTGAATATCATCGGCGGATTGCTTGTGTTGAGCAAGAACATGATGGTATCTCTTTATATTACTCCTGGATGGATTGTGCTTGATCAAGAACAATGCTATACAGATGTGCTGATGGCACAGCTATTACTTTACTTAGGATGTTACTGACTGGTAAAACCATCTCACACGGTATGCTAATATGCCTTGGTCTCTGTAGGCCCGGGAACAAAATGCTTTACTTGGAATACGATTAACATATTTTGATTTTTTTTTATTCTCTTGTGATTAACATAGTTTTAGCGTTTTTATTTGGTCCATATATTTTAAAAACTAACAGTTTAGTCCGAGTTTTAAAAAATGGTTTTAAAAAGGTCCTTGAGGTTTGAATTTTCTTAAACCATGATATGTGGTCCCAAGTGGTACAAGAATTTTCAGCTTTAATTTTGAGGCAGACTAAGATTTCAAATCCATGAACAGATATTCCAAAAAATAAATATTTTTCTGTAGAATTGATTTCTATAAATATTTTTCTTAGTATATAATAATAATTATTATTATTTTTCTTTTTCAATAAGCCTTTAAATCTTTGATTTGTAATGGTGCAAATAAATTTTTGTAGATAAATTTATGGAATAAAATTGATTATAAATTATAAGTGAGAACAATAATCAATTAGTGATATGATATTTTTGGAGTAAAATAAAAAATACAGATGTTTACATTATAATATTGTAGAAATGGGTGAATTTTTTTTATCCTCCAAATTCTTAAGAGGACTAAAACCCTTTTTTTACCATTTATAGCTTCGACCTTAGATAAGGAGTTTTTTTTTCACAACCGAGTTTTTTCTTCACGTAGTAGGTGATGTACTGTTGGTCTTTGATCGTGATAACACTTGATGTGGTTTGATGGGGGACACACATATCACCACGAGTTGTTCACTTTGTGGGAGTCATGAGCTATTATCTTTTTGTACTGTAGCTCGTTTAGAATTGAAATGCTATAATTCTTGGTAATGTAATTATTTCTATATATTTCAACAAACATTGGATTGGGTCAGTAGTGGAAGAGACTTAGTTCAAAACAAGTAACGAGTATTTTTATTTACTAAACTACCCTCAAATTCACATTTAAGACACAATTATGAAATTCCTCTAGGTTTGATTTAGGGATTGTAAGAGAGACCAAAGAAACTCGCCCCATTATATGATGGGCCTGAAAAGGGGAAATAATGGAATGGTTGTATTACGAAGTCCCAGCAGTCAAAAGGCACCGCCTTTCCTTCTTCGCCGAGTCCTTCCATTTTCATTCCATCCAAACACACACGAGCTCTGTTTTCCCCTCACCTCCCCTCTCCACGATCTTCCCTTCATAAAACGTGGGAGATTGATTCCTCAACCCCAACTCCTAAATTTCCTCTTTAAGAACACATTACATTTCTTTCCCCCATTTTAATATAAATCATCCGTTTGATTTGTAAGAAACAAATCTGTGGTTCTGTGCATCTCTTTTTGAGCATGTTTCAAAGAAACCCATCTTATTCTAACCCAACACCATGCAATCATCTAGCTGATTACAAGCTCAGATATGGCTTAAACGGCTATAAATCCATTCAAAATCACCTTAAAACTACCCCAAATGGAAGAACCAGTATTCAAAACCCCGATTCGAAGCTACCCAGATGCGGTTCTTGCGATGGGTATGAAGGGAGGCTCTACATATGCTTGATTTGTGCTTCAATCTCTTGCTCAAATCATACCCTTCTTCATAACCAGTCCGAAAACGGCCATGATTTGGCCATCGACGTTGAGAGAGCGGAGCTTTATTGTTATGCTTGCTCCGATCAGGTTTACGACCCGGATTTTGATCGGACGGTGATGTCGAAGCACATCGTCGCCGCCGTACTGGAGAAATCGCAATCGGCGGAGAGATCGAGTAAGAGGAGGAGATTTGGATCGATAGATTTATTGGATTTGAAGAAATTGAAACCGTTGATGTCTGTTAAAGATCAGCGGTCGAAATCGTGCTATCCTTTGGGATTGAGGGGATTGAATAACTTGGGGAATACTTGTTTTATGAACTCTGTTCTTCAAGTGTTTCTTCATACTCCGCCTTTGAGCAATTACTTCTTGAATGATCAGCACAACAGGGAAACCTGCAGCAAAAGACCCATTGGGCAGCTGTGTTTACCTTGTGACATTGATCGTATTTTTTCTGCTGTGTTTTCTGGTGATCATATGCCTTATAGCCCAGCTCAATTTCTGTACAGGTCTGCCATTGTATGATTTGCCTCAATTTCTTAATTTTCTCTGTGAGTTTACTGATCTGTGCCTGGTTCTAAGTTTTTTTAGTTCGGTTAGGTTTAGGGTTCGAACGGTTTGACCATTTGGTCAAGATTACATGTCTTAACTAGTTGAGTTCTGGCTGGCGGGTGGTTCGGAATTATGTATATATCCTAATCTATTAGCTTAAACTTTTAACTTAATGAGTGATTAACGTGTATCGGTGTCGGGATTATACGTTGAACTACTGCCATGCCATTGCCTGGATTGTTTTGATTGATCTATCTGCTGCTTTCAAATCTGATGATTTTGGGGTATTTTCTAAACTTTTCAAATCTTGTTTTCAAATCTCTAAGTTGGTGGCAGCACTCTGCAAATTTAGCATTTTATGAGCAGCAGGATGCCCACGAGTTCTTCATCTCAGTTCTAGACCGAATCCACGAGCGAGAATGGAAATCGAGGAGCCAAGATAAAGGTGATATGTTACTTTCCTTTTTTTTCTTTCGCCCAAGTTCACTGCTAGCAGATATTGTCTGCTTTAGCCTGTTACGTATCGTCGTCAACCTCACGGTTTTAAAACGCATCTGCTGCTAGGGAGAGGTTTCGACACTCTTATAATGAATGCTGCGTTCCCTTCTCCAACTGACGTGGGATCTCACAATCCTCCCCTTCGTTCCCCTCCAAACGCGTCTGGCTCTGATACCAATTGTGAGATCCCACATCGGTTGGGAAGGGAACGAAGCATTTTTTATAAGAGTGTGGAAACCTCTCCCTAGTAGATGCGTTTTAAAATCGTGAGGTTGACAACGATACGTAACGAGCCAAAGCGTACAATATATGCTAGCTGTGGACATGGGCTGTTACATTCATGTTTAAGCCTTATTCTATTCTATGCCTGTCACATCTAATTTGGCTGCTTCGGAGTGCTTCGAATGCTCTAAAGTTTCGGGGGGTGGTTAGAGATGTGAAGAACACGTTCATGCTTTTGAAATCAGTACCATTTTGAGTTAATGAATAGAAACAATTGTTCTTCGTTCGTTCGGAACGGTGTTTTTGAGTAGAGACTAGAAATGCATTTACCTTAACCTGTAAAGATCATCTGAATTTGGATTCCTTTTCAACAGAGAATGGGGACTGCAAATGCATTGCTCACAAGGCCTTCTCTGGGCAGTTGAGATCAGACGTGACCTGTATGACCTGTGGATTCACTTCAACAACTTATGATCCATGTGTGGATATTTCACTTGACTTGGACACCCACGATTTCTCGTCTAGAAATATTGCTAGCAAGTCGATGAAGCCCGTGGATTCCAGCAGTAAATCTACGCTATCTGGTTGTTTGGATCTTTTTACGAGACCCGAAAAGCTGGGATCGGACCAGAAACTTTTCTGCCAGAATTGTCAAGAAATGAGAAGTTCAGTGAAGCAAATGTCTATCAGAAGGCTGCCATTGGTCTTGTGTTTGCATATCAAACGATTTGAGCACTCTTTTGTCAGACGAACGTCGAGAAAAATTGATCGGTATTTGCAGTTTCCTTTCTCCCTCGACATGATCCCGTATTTGTCGTCTTCAATTATCAGAAACAGATATGGGAATAGGATTTTTGCTTCTGAGGGTGACGAAATAGATGCTTCGTCGAAGTTTGAGATTTTCGCTGTGGTTTCTCATTCGGGGACGCTCGAGTCTGGTCATTACGTGACATACTTGCGTCTGAGAAGTCGATGGTATAAGTGCGACGATGCCTGGATCACCGAAGTCGATGAAGAAATGGTGAGAAATTCTCAGTGTTATATGATGTTTTATCTACAGAAAATACCAAACTACAAACCGAATGAGGATTTGAGCTGCCTTCCTATTTCCCCGCGCAACGATGCGTTCCAACAAATTGCTGGTTGCTGTTAACAGCGGGATTCGTCGAGATTCGCCGAAGTTTTCCATATTATGCATCACACATTCAAGGCCGACTAAGGATCAAAATGAAAGATCGAACGATCAGTACTTCAGAAAATGACTTTTGTCATGATCGACGCGTATTCTCTTCAAGAAATCACGACCCTGAATGTTTCTGCAGTTGTGCAGGCAGCGCCAGAATTTCGTCACAGGGAACGTGACGTTAAGCTGGTCGCTAAGGCTCAAACGGCAGGACGATATGATATCGAAATATCGAAAACGTCGCGGATTGGTATCTTGAAAGATGAAGATGGGTACTACAAAATGGTCATGTGTATGTCAAAATTTAAAACTTTATACAAGTTTATTAAAGGCCTCGCTCATCAAGAGAATTGTTCATTGCAGACACGAGGGTAGTTGAAAAAAATTGCTTTTTTTTTTTTTTAATCTCTACCATATATTTTGAAAATTTTAAATTAAACATTTTTAGATTATATATTTCTTAAATGTTTTTCAATTAATACAAATTTTTAAACTAATTTTTTTATTTATTAAGGTTATTTTACAATTAACTTAAAATCACCAAATAACTACTTTCAAATCATTACCTTTTAAGGCTATATATATATATTAATTTTGTTTAAAAATAACTGATAAATTAGATATAAAATTAATTGCATTTTTTAAAATATTTTTTTAAATGAGTATGTTCAATACAAAAATGGAAATTCAAGATAATTATTTAACTTCCAAAATTAAAATAGTAAATTTAATTATTTCACTTTAAATATATTAACAATATATTTTTTTTCAAAAAGAAAAAATGGGACGGTGTTGAAGAATGCTGGAAATGGGCCTGGCCCATTTAATTTGAAGCCCTAAGAATATAAAGAGCCGTGTATGGCAATAGGCACAAGTTGCCTCCGTGACCAAACAGCTCTGGAGCTTTTCGCTCCTATCCCGGATTAGGGTTAACTCTTCCGACAAACAAGATTTCTTAGGCGCCAACTGACTCATTGCAATTCCTTCCCAGTAGAGAAAACAACTAACAGGTAAAAGCAAACCACCATTTATCCCGCCGTTTAAATCTCTCCCTTCAAATCTTCCATTGCATTTGTTCTATCTTCTTTCCCTGCTTGTTCTTCTCTTCGCCGTCGGACAATGCTGTTGTTCGACTGCGAGTTTTGAGTGTTTTTGTGATACGAAAACGTTCTGGCATTGTATTGAATATGATCGGAATCTTCAAAACTGCGTACTGTAGCAATCTAGAAGATGAATTTGTTCATGATCACGTTATTTTGGAGAATTTGTTCATGTTTTCGTTCATTTTAGTTCATCATGGATTTAGAATTCTGAAGGATTTTGATCAGGCAGGGTTGCATGGAGATAATGTAGAAGTTCCTCTTGCAATGAATACCTAGTTTTTATCTTTGGATTCCATTTTCTGATTCTTATTGCACGCAGCTGCTTCGTGATCCTCCATTGCATCGTCTTGCATGTTAACATTCGTTAGCAGTGTTCATGACTTTTAGCGGTTCATTGCATCTATAAAATTATTACCAATTGCAGATTAATGGCCAATTTTTGTTTTGCTTGTGGTGTGAAAATCTTTTAAAATCTCCTAAGGGATCGACATGGAATCTGTGAGATCCCACATTGGCTGGAGAGGAGAACGAGACATTTTTGGTGTGGAAACCTCTCTCTAGAAGATGCGTTTTAAAAACCTTGAAGGAAAACCTGAAAGAGAAAGCCCAAAGAGGACAATATTTGCTAGCGGTGGGCTTGGACGGTTACAAATGGTATTAAAGCCAGACACCGGGCGATGTGCCAGCGAGGAGGCTGAGCCTCGAAGGGGGTGGACACGAGGTGGTGTGCCAATAAGGACGCTGGATCCCAAAGGGGGTGGATTGGGGGGTCCCACATTGATTGGAGAAGGGAACGAGTGATAGCGAGGACGCTGAACCCTGAAGGGGGGTAGATTGTGAGATTTCACATTGGTTGAAGAGGAGAAAACATTCTTTACAAGGGTGTGGAAACCTCTCCTTAGTAGACGCATTTTAAAAACCTCGAGAGGAAACTCAAAAGGGAAAATCCAAAAAAGACAATATCTGCTAGTGGTGGGCTTGGGCTGTTACAGAATCCGTACCGTCTATTAGAATTCTTTCGTTTTTTTTGAGAACTCAATGATCTTTTTTGAGTTTTGAATACTTGCTTCTCTCACGTCCTTATTTACTCATGAGCATAGTTAAAACTTATTAGTTAAGTCGTTCATATGACTAAATTATAAATCATGTATTATGAGTTTTTGCTACTCACTGGATGAGTAATCTTAGATTTTTTGTGATATCTAGAAGAAGCAATGGGTACCCAAACTATTCCAAGCCATGAACGCTCCAGAACATATTGGACACCAGTAATGGAACGTTACTTCATTGATCTTATGTTGGAGCAGCTTCACAGAGGAAACAGGAGTGGGCACACTTTCAACAAGCAGGCATGGACGGACATGCTTACAATGTTTAATACAAAATTTGGATCTCAGTATGATAAAGACGTTTTGAAGAGTCGCTATACAAATTTGTGGAAGCAATTCAATGATGTTAAGCATCTATTAGGTCATGATGGTTTTTCGTGGGACGAAGGTCGACAAATGGTAATCGCAGATGATCATGTATGGGACATTTACATCCAGGTGAAAGTTTTTTATTTGCGAAGAAATAATATGAAGTGTGATAATCTTGCTATGATTTTAAACGACGACGTAATTTTGCAGGCACATCCAGATGCACGATCCTATAAAACTAAAGCGGTACTGAATTTTAGCGATTTATGTCTGATATATGGATACACTAATGCTGATGGAAGATACAGTCGATCGAGTCACGATATAGACTTTGATGACGAAATCCAAGCTGTAAATACAGGTAAAAATGTTTTCTGATACACAAGTAATGGCGCTCTATCTCCGGTCTGTTCAATATCATTTACTCTATTCCCGGACTTGCCCTCGAGTTTCAGGTGATGCCATTGGTTGTGTTGCCCCTCCTGATCGTCCAAGGACGGATTGGACGCCAGAAATGGATCAGTATTTCATTGAGCTTATGCTAGATCAAGTAGGAAGAGGCAATAAGGTATCTAATACATTCAATAAGCAAGCCTGGACGGATATGCTTGCATTGTTTAATGCTAAATTTGGTCCTCAACATGGTAAAAGGGTGTTACGACATCGATTTAAGAAATTATGGAAATATTACTGTGATATTATGAATCTACTTCAACAAAATGGATTTTGCTGGGATGAAGTACAACAAATGGTTGTGGCTGATGATGATATTTGGGATGCTTATGTCAAGGTAAATATTCATTATCTTTAAAGCGTAATCTTCATTTTCTTCGAGGGTTTTAATGGACTTTATTGAATGCAGACGCACCCGTTTGCTCGAAGTTATAGAACGAAAGAGTTGCCGAACTACTATGACTTGGTTCTCATATATGGGAACGTAATTGACAGTGAGAACCAGAATCATTTGCATCTAGATAAGAACCTTCCCGACGATATATCAGAGGTAAAGGGTGGTGAGTTACGAGTTCTTTACAAAGCTATCGAGAACCAATTGATACATTACATTGGAGATTACCGAAGGAAAATGTGAGATCTCACATCAGTTGGAGAGGGGAACGAAACATTCATTTTAAGGGTGTAGAAACCTCTCCCTAGTGAACGCGTTTTAAAACTTTGAGGGGAAGCTTGGAAGGAAAGCCTAAGGACAATATCTGCTAGCGGTGGGCTCGGGCTGTTACCAATGGTATCAGAGCCAGACACTGAATTGTGTGCCAACAAGGACGTTGGACGCCCAAGAGGGGTGGATTGTGAGATCCTACATCGGTTAGAGAGGGGAACGAAGCATTCCTTTTAAGGGTGTGGAAACCTCTCCCGAGTGGAAGCCTATAAAAGAAGTTCAAAGAGGACAATATTTGCTCACAGTGGGCTTGGGCTGTTACAGAAAGGGAACTCAATCGATGCTTATCCGCATGTTGCAACCTAGACTATGTACAATTGAAATAAACTCATTTATCCTTTTGCTTTCTTAATGAACTAGATTAGATAAACATTTTAGCTCTGCTGGTAGTTTTGGAAATTCTTGACGGATGATACCGTTACTGAACTTCGTATTTTTTTCTTCTTTATGTTTTGTGTGTAGTTCAAACTCGAAGTGAATTTTGTCATAAAAGTATTATGCACCTGCAGGAGAATCAAATGCCAACTGTTAGCGACCGCACCCGAACATATTGGACGCCCCCAATGGATCGTTACCTCATAGACTTGCTACTTGAACAGGTGAATAGGGGCAATAAAATAGGCCAAACGTTTGTAAGTCATGCTTGGATCGACATGGTTACCGCGTTCAATGCCCAATTCCGAGCTCACCATGACAAGGATGTGCTGAAAAATCGATACAAACATTTGAGAAGGCTGTATAATGAAATAAAGATTCTTCTCGAACAGAGAGGATTTTCATGGGATGAAAATCGTGAAATTGTTACTGCTGACCACCATGTTTGGGATGCTTATACTAAGGTTTTCACTGCTCTCACTGAATAGCTTTCTCCTTTTTTTACCCCTTTTTTTAACCCTTTCCCTTTTGTGCTTATGTATTAAATAAACAGGATCACCCTGTTGCCCGATCATATAGAGTTAAAACTGTACCAAGCTATCACAAGTTGTGTTTTATATTTGGTGAAGAGAGTTCCAACAGAAGATATAGCCGTTTGGCTCATGATACCGATCCGAGTAATGAAGTGCCTGTTCTTATGACTGGTACATATAATTAGTGATATCATCTCAATTACGAGTTCTGTTGCTCGGAGACTCGAAAATATGTTGCTTGAATACTTTATGTTTTTGTATTTTGTAGATGAAAGGAAAAATGATCAAGTCCCTGCTGGACCTTCACCCATGATAGATTGGACACCACAGATGGATCGCGCTTTTATCGATCTTATGCTTGAACATTCGCAAGAAGGAAGTATGTTCGGCCAAGCGTTTAGCGAGCAAGCATGGAGTCACGTGATTATATCATTCAATGAGAGGTTCAAACTTCAATGTGGCCGATCTGTTCTAGAAGATCGTTATGTCTGGTGGATGAAGCATTACGGCGAAATCTACGATCTTCTCAATCACGGTGGGTTCATGTGGAATGAATCTCAACAATTGATTACTGCTGAGGATGATCTCTGGGAAGCCTATGGAAAGGTGACTTACCAAAATTTTCAATATAGAACAGAATCAAGTTACTTCATTTATCGATGTTTCGAACGTTTTGCAGGAACGCCCCGATGCCCTCTTGTACAAAGACAAATTCCTAGGCTACTATACTGACTTGTGCAAGATTTTTGGAAACGTAATAGATAAAGAAGTCAACAGTCGGTATACAGGTGAAATCGATAACGAAAATATGGAGATAAAGATGGATGGAAATGAACAACACCTACTCCTAACATCAAGAGAGCTCCAAGTTTCTCAGCAGAGAAAGCGTCCTGCAGAGATGATATCATTGGACACGGAGCTCTCGAAGAAAGTGCATAGAACCGAGAACGACGTGCAGAAAGCTCTGTCCGAGATGGCAGGTGTAGTCACTAGATTGGTGAGCATGAGACAGCACCATAACTATAAAGCAGGCGAAGGTGCCATCGATGCACTTCAGGCTATACCCGACATCGATGATGAACTTATGTTGGATGCCTGTGATCTCTTAGAAGATGAAAGGAAGGCAAAAACATTTATGGCTTTGGATGCAACCCTGCGAAAGAAATGGTTACTAAGAAAGCTTCGTTCTCAATAGAAAGCATTGACAGGGCTCAACTCATCACCCTTGCAGTAACTAGTAAGTATTTTGTCAACTTTCTAGTAAGTTATATATATATATATATATATATATATATATAAGAGATAAAGTTATGGTATTTAGTGGTCAAGATTTTAAAAAAAATATAGGAAAAAAAAAAATCAATTTTGACCCCTAAACTTATTGATTTGTTTCAATTTTTACCATAGACGTTTAATTTAATCAAATTGTGCCTTAGACAAGTGTTTACACAATTTTATACTTAAATTTTTAAGTATTGCATCCATAACTCTCTAAACCAATGCTCTAATGCAGCAGCAGACGTTGGCAGGGAAAAATCCCACAATAGAACACGTAATTCCCAAATTATATAATTATAATAACTAATATTATTTTGTTATAAACACCGGAAAATTAAAAGAGATGAAATAAATAGAAGTTCCACTCATTCACAGTACCAGCACAATTCGATGAGCCTCTACGACGATAAACGTATGTACAATCTGTTCCCTTTCTTTTCTTCCTCCCATGATTCAGCTTCTACAAACTTATTCAACGCCTCTAGCTTTTAGGCGGCTACAAGCTTTTGGATATCCTTCTGAAAAAACAGAAAACGTAATCAGTATAGCAAAAGTTAACAGGGAAGTGTTTGCAACTGAAAGGCACTTCCTTTGGCAACCCTGGTTGGTTGAGGGGATAGATCGCTGTCATGACCAATAAGAATTTAAAAAATTTTAAAAGAGTCTATGTCAATTACCACCGAGCTATGTTCAAACTTCTTACAATAGGAAGATTTCTCGTGTATTCAATGAAGCTTTCGAATCATTAGATTATTGTCTAAGAAGTTGAAGAAACATCGAAAGGTGAGGAACACAAGTTAATAGCTTGGATGGCTGTGAGGAACACAAGTTAATAGCTTGGATGGCTGTGAGTGCATAGCTCTAGTTATCACCGACAAGAATTTGAAAGAAAAAAAGAGTTCGGGAAGGTATGGAGATTCGAAGCTTCAACCTCACGGTAAAGAATATATGTTGAACTATGTTCATGTTGGGAAGAAAAACGTTGTAACTTTTCAAAATTACCGGTTTCTATGATATCTTCCGGATTCACTTAAAATTAGGGAAAATTTCTCGTGTATTCAATGAAGCACTCAAATTATTCGATTGTATAGACCATAGAGTTGAAGAAACAAGGTAAAAGCCAAAAAAAGCTAAAGAACAACGGAAGCTTGCAAAAACAAGATAACACGACGAAATTCACAATGGTGCACCTAAAAAGAAAAATCAGGCATACCTCAATTTGAAAAGGTGATGTTGTTGGTGGATATCTCTCAACAACTTTACCATTTTTGTCCACCAAAAATTTCTCGAAGTTCCACTTGATAAGATCGCCCAAAAATCCTCCGGCACTTGATTTGAGAAACTGATATACTGGGGCAGTATTTGGACCGTTAACATCAACCTGTGTGCAGCAATTCTATCACTATTATGCCATGTTCACATTAAATCGTGGTCCGTGATGATGATAAACGCAGTGGGTGTACCTTGTCAAAGATTGGGAACTCTGCTTTGAACCTTGAGCACGCGAACTGTTTGATTTCTGGATTGGACCCAGGTTCTTGGCCTCCAAATTGGTTGCATGGAAAAGCCAGAATCTCTAATCCTGCCCTCCCAAACAAACACAAAACAATTAAGATTGTGAAATCTCCCTACTCACTTGGCTGAACCTGAGATATTCTTCTTGGATTCAACTGATACAACTCAAATCTAAATGAAAGTTAACCAAATAACATGTGTAAATCAAGCTAATATCGTGCCTGAATCTTATATCGATTCTCCATAAATTCAACAAGTTCAATCGTGCACAGCCCGAACCTTCTTTATGTTATATACACCAAGTAGTAAAAAGACTCGCAAAGAACTAAGGTTTCCATCATTCGATTCTCTTCCCTCGAGTTGGAATGGTTTTCTAAGTGCTTAAAAATTCTTTTTTCGCATGGGCACGAATCATTTTATGAGCACTTGAAAAGTCATTTCAACTCATATCGACCCAAACAACCTTGTACTCCAATTGATGTATAACAGCTTAAGCTCACCACTAACAGATTTTGTGTTTTCTCTCTCGGGCTTTCCTTCATGGTTTTTAAAATGCATCGGCTGGGAAGAGGTTTCCACACCCTTATAAAGAATGCTCCGTTCCCATCTCCAACCAATGTGGGATCTCACAGTCCACCCCTTTCACGACCCAGCGTCCTTGCTGGCACTCGTTCCTTTCTCTAATCAATGTGAGATCTCACGTGCTGTAACCGTCTTGTAAGCAAAAGAATGCCGCACAACCATTGATGAGAAAGGAAAAAAAATGATATCAGACTAGCTTGTTCAAATTATTTGTCAGGTGTTCGTCGGAGTGCTAATAGATAATGCAACCCCTACCAAAGAATTTTGATACCTTGAGCTTTGTACTTCTCATACAAGTGTGACAGTTCTGAGTAATTTGCCGTCGTCAAGCCACTGGCATCAACAAAAGAAATACAAAATTCATAATAAGTTTTTCAGGGAACTCAATTGCACAATTTAAAGCTAAGTATCGTCTAACCAAAGTTAGCTAGGGTTGAATACCATCTAGAAGCAACGTTTACTATCAGGAGAACCTTCCCTTTGAACTTGTTCAGAGAAACATCTTTGCCATCAATATCCTGCACCAGAAAACACTCTTCAGATGTCACAAGGATCCTAAAAAAGTGCTTTTAAGAGCAATAAAAGTGTTTTTAACGCCATTCCACAAATCAAAGCTTCTTTACTCGTACGGTTCAGCTTGAACGCTGGCTGAAATGAATATCGCCGCAGTGAAATTCACCATAAATCTAATATATGCTCAGATAAACTTCACCGCTCCAGATGAACAATATTGAAGAATTACAGGTAAGAATACAAAGAACAAGAGTATGCAGAAAAGCACCTTAACAGTGAAATCGTGAATACTCTTCTCCGTAGCTGCTCTGGCAGATACACCAGAAAATTGAGCTTTCGAGAAAACACGGCGAGAGATTGACGACTGTAGAGGCAAATTATGGCATAGAAAAGCCGATTTCGAAGCGCCAAGCGAGGTTTTCACCGAGGGAATCAAGGTAGGTGCCATGGAAGACCAGGAAGCAGCGGAATAGCAGAAACCTGTTCTGATTTGCGCACAGACATTGATAGGAGGCGAGAAAGTAGCGGAGAAAGACATGGAAGCTCTGTGAATGCGGTGGATTGGGAAGACGAGAATTTGGTCCGTGAGTTCCGGAGTGTTCTTGAAGTAGAAAGGCAGATTCCGATTGACTGTGTGAAAGAAAGGCACATTAGCCTAAGCACCTGAGAGGCAATGAAACGATTTAATGTGGAAGATGTGGTTACACGTGTCATTGCCTGGTCCATTTTATTTAGTATCAAACAAAATGGTCCATTATTTTTTTTTTTTTAAATAATTCATTCTAATTATTATCTTAATGGATAATTTAATTACTATTTCTTCATTTCTTAAACTAAATGAAAATAAAAATAATAATTATGGTACCTTGCATTTAGTAAAGTTTTATTTTTCTCTTAATTCAACAACCCTAGTAAAGTAGATGTGGAATTTTTCTTTTGTTGTTAGTTAAACTTGAGTGGACTTTTTACCCTTTAATTATATATATATATATATATATATAATTGAATTATATTCATTACCCCGTAAAATTATTGAGTAGTTTTAATGAGTTTGATTGAAATATTTTTTTACTGTCTATCCAATTATTCGGGTTGTAAATTTTTTCAATACAAACCATCCTTATTAAATAATGAACTCAACTCAACCATAATATTTTTGGGTTAAAGATCGTTTGGACGGTTTGGATCATTTATTCAATTTTTTAATATACAGGGGCAATTAAGTAAATTAAAGTGGTTTGGGCTTCATATGTGGTCATCGAGAAAACTGACATTCCTTATGAAATTAGACACGTTGGAAAATATGTAAATGAGCCCACAATCATAGGGCAGGCCCATTTGTTTGACTATAAAATATCTATTGGGCCTGAATAAACCAACTGGACCATGGGGCCCATACACTGATTTCTAGATTCAGCACATAAATAGTTATTGTTTTTATTTTTTATTTTTTTTTATTTCTCAAGTATTTAATTGAATTTGGAATCCGCTTTCCCACAACAATGAAAGATATTGAAATCCTAAAATATAATATATTTTAGGATAAATTAATAAAAATACATTTTAACATTCTTTTTTTTATAAATATTTTTTAATTAAAAAAATACACTCAATAATTTTAAAAGTGAAAGTATTTAAAAAATATCTAATAATATCTTTAAAAAAATGTTGGTAGATAATTTATTAAGTATTAAATAAATGTAAAAAATTTCAAATTTTTTTTTTATAAAAGAGTTTTTATATTTTTGAAACAAATAATTAATATTTGGTAAAAATATTTTAGGATATTTTGTTTAAAATACAAAATTTAAGGTTTTTTTTTTATTAATTTAGCATAGATTTTAATTATTATAAAATTAATCGCCCAATAATAATAATAATAATAAAAAGAAAATGATTAAATAAAAAGGAATGAGGGGAACAATAAGGGTTTCTTGGAGGTCGCGTTTCTCCTCACTCACCCCATTTTCTCTTTGCAGCTGCGAAGAGATACAGCGGGACGCAGGTAGAGATAGAATCCCACTCTGTCTCTATCTCGTCGAAAATAACCTCCAAAATCGAACATCCTCCATCTCAATCCCCTCTCTTTTCTCCGCTTCGAACGATTCCTTCTCTCTCTCTCTAAAGCTTTCTCTCTCCTCATCCCTCTTTGTGAACGCTCATCAACGGATTGCATCGGTAGAGTTATGCAGGCAGATCAGACGGTCATAAGTTTGAGACCAGGTGGTGGCGGTGGCCTTCGCGGAAGCAGATTTTTTACCCCTCGCTTCGATTCCTCCTCCGCTGATTCTTCGTCGCTTCGTCCACATGGCGGTGTTGCTTCAATCCTCAAGGTCGAATTCCATATCTCTTTATTTTACGAAGAGCGTTAGGGATATGGTTTTCGTGATATGTGTTTATGCGTATGGACGATCTTTGGGGCTTTCTTGGTGTATTTGTGTTCTTTATATTTGATTATGGGTGTGCGGATTTGTTTTTATAGATCTGGAATCTATAAAACTTTAATCTTTTTCCTGTTTTGAGGTTGTTTTCACTGTGTGTTTTACTTTCCCGTTGTCGATGTCGCTTGTTTGCAAATACCCCTTGGAGTGAATCAACCTGGTATTATTAGATTTGATGAATGTTTGGTTGTCTTTCGTTATTGGCTGACATTGTTTTGCATTTTGAATGTTAATAATTTTTAGTTGATACAGATTATAGCTTCTAGAATTCCATGTTAATCGTTTTTTTCATGTCTTCTGTAGAGTCATATTGTCCTAATTCTTGTCAGGGCACTCAAGTACGCGTACCTGATGTAAATATGGACATAGAATATTATGTAGGATTTTAGGTGGGCATAGCTTGAGTTAACCATGCCCATAAAGAACCTACATTACATATGGATTTACTAAATTTCTTTCAGCGGGATGATAGGATATGGGGCTTTGATTTCAATCAGGAATAGTTTTGTATGTTGATGGATTGGATCAAAAACACAATTTTTTTGTAGTGTAGTTCTTGAAATGCGTAGAATATTTAATCAAATAATTTACGAGTAAAAAATTATATTTAATTAACTTTGCATCATGGGTTTGATTGGTAATCAAAAGTGAGAATTGTATTTTAGATACCTTTGAGGTCATGCATTCAAAGTTCAAACCATGACGATGGCCATTTTATGAGTGTTTTATGGTTTATTTCCAAATGCTATACAGTCAGGTTGTGGTTCAAATTAGTTGGGGGGTGCATAAGCTGGTGTAAGCACTCGTGATTATAAAAAAAAATCAGGCACGAGAATTTCTCTGTATATCTTTACAAAAGTGCGAAGTCTAGTAGTCCATTTTGTGTCATAGGTCTAAGCCAATCTCTTATTCTTACAATTTTCATATTTTGTATAATAGTCTATCAATTCTAATGATTATATACTGTATACTTGTTTCAGGCCGGTGATCTACGGTTCGAAGGTCGTGAGCGAATCCAGTACACTCGAGACCAGCTTCTGCAGCTTAGGGAGGTACTTGTTCATTTTTCTGTCCCCAAACCTCATATAGTTAGATTGGCTGATGCTTTTTATGGGTGAAGATTAAAATCATATTTTTTTAATGTCATATTTAATTATATCTGTGGCATTGTCTCGGTCATAATTATCATCTTATTCATTGTTCACATGTATAGATAAGTCGACTAACATATTTTTCTTCTCAGGTTGCAACAGTCTCTGAGGATATCATGAAGATCAAACTAGAAGTTGAGACTGAGATACTTGGGGAGGATCAAACATGGGCTCGTGCTGAAAGCAATGTAAGTTTATTGTTTTTGTATTTCATAACATTCAGTTGGTAGAAATCGATTTTTCCTTTTCTATGCATTTGGTATCGATCTGTTCATGGATTTACTGATCTTACATCATAATCATCCATGAATCATTCCCTTACATCATACTTTTCCGAACACGCACACATGCATATGCTCTTACATCCTCATTCAAACTTTAATTACACGTGTTCCTATTCTCTTCAGCAGCAATCACAATCTCAAGGCCGTTACTTTGAGCCGGACAGTCGAGATTGGCGTGGTCGATCAGGACAGTTACCCACCACAGAGGAAGGATCTTGGGAGGCAATTCGCGACAACAAGGACTTGACAGGACAATCTTTGCAAGACTCAAATAATAGGACTCAAGTTTCTGGTAACCAAGGGGTAATAACTTCCCATCAGTTTACTTGATCTATTTGAGGTTAATCATTGAAATCATATGAATGCAATTATATTTTTTATTTTTCATTTTTTTAAGTAGGGGAGATATCAGTTTGTTACTATATGTACCAATTATCGTACTTGGGTATCCCTTTCTGAATATTTAGACGTAAAGGTGTATTATGGGATCCTCCATCTATTCCATTCATGGAAGTTTTACGTTTCACTTCCAGCTTTTGAATGAGCCCCTTCACCCATTGATGTATTTCTGCTGGCTCTGGCATTGTTCTTATTTTTCTGTGCCAACAGGTGGGTACTGCAGCTGCTCTTATCAAGGCTGAAGTTCCTTGGTCAGTTAGAAGAGGTAATATCTCAGAAAAGGATCGTGTTTTGAAGACAGTAAAAGGGTAACTATCATTCCCCCAATTTATTATTTCATATATTTCGTTAAACGTTGGAAATAAAGATAGTATTGCCTCTTCCTTATTTGCAGTATACTCAATAAATTGACTCCAGAAAAGTTTGACGTACTCAAAGGTCAATTGATTGACTCTGGAATTACATCTGCTGATATTTTGAAGGTACCTACTATTGCGTCTAGTGTATCTTTTTTTTCCTGATTTGATACACTTTGTTAGATGATGGACTAACATGATTGAAGGTATGGAATATAGGATGTTATTTCACTTATATTTGAGAAGGCCGTGTATGAGCCCACATTTTGCCCTATGTATGCACTTCTGTGCTCCGACCTTAATGAGAAGCTTCCTTCATTTACATCTGATGTGCCTGGGGAGAAAGATATCACTTTTAAACGAGTTCTCTTAAATATTTGCCAAGAAGCGTTTGAAGGTGCTGATAACCTGAGGGCAGAAATCAGGCAGATGACTAATCCTGATCAGGAAATGGAAAGAAGAGATAAAGAAAGAATGGTTAAGCTTCGAACTCTAGGAAACATTCGCCTGATAGGTGAGCTTCTGAAACAGAAGATGGTGCCTGAAAAGATTGTTCACCATATTGTTCTGGTAAGCATCAGTACTGATCCACTTACATTTTTTTTTTTTTTTTGGTTTTGTTTTTCATTGTGAATGGCCTTTGGTGTTAATTTGATTCTTTTAACATTTCAGGAACTGTTGGGGCCTGACCCCAAAATATGCCCTGCTGAGGAGAATGTTGAGGCTATTAGTCATTTTTTCAACACAATAGGTAAGCAACTGGATGAGAGCCCAAAATCTCGGCGAGTCAATGATTTGTATTTCAGCCGATTGAAGGAGCTCACTGCAAACACCCAACTAGCACCTAGGTTGAGATTTATGGTCCGTGATGTTCTTGATTTACGGGCCAATAAATGGGTACCTAGACGTGAAGAGGTGAATATTTTTTTTTACTGGTTTCAATTTCTTTGTTCGAGTTACTTTGTATGGTGCGCTTATCTTGGTCTTTCTGCAGTTCCTTATTCCTGTAGGCCTTGGTATAATATTGGTGGCTACCATTGGTTATAATATATATTATGCATCAAACTAATTCAATGTTATTTTAGGCAAAAATCCTGAGGACCAATTTGCTGAGCCTTCTGTTTGCTCCTTTTTCGTCGTTTATGATAGCTTCTAGTATTGAAGGAATAAAAAAGCGGTTGTGTGTGTGGCAAGAAAGCGGCTGTTTATTTTTGTGACATAACTTTTGTCATGCCTGTCAACCTACAAATCTGATGGCTCGTTTTTCGGGTGCAGGTGAAAGCAAAAACCATCACTGAAATTCATTCTGAGGCTGAAAAGAATTTAGGGCTTCGTCCGGGTTCGACTGCAATGATGAGAAATGGCCGTAATGCTGAGGCACTTGGGGGTCCTGGTGGTTTTCCTGTTGCTGGACCTGGGTTTGGGGGTATGATGCCTGGAATGCCTGGAACCAGGAAAATGCCTGGTATGCCTGGACTTGATTCAGACAATTGGGAGGTTCCTAGATCCCGATCAATGACAAGGGGCGAAAGCGGAGGTCATACTCAGGCTTCTTCGCGTGTCCAGTCATCACTAGTTGGCAAAACATCTTCCATTAATTCTAAATATTTACCTCAGGGAAGTGGTGGTGTAATAACTGGGAAAACAAGTGCTTTGCTACAGGGTAGCGCTGCTGCATCTCCTGCCCGACCAAGTTTCGTGCCTGGAACACAGCCTGTCGCCCACAACCCTAAACCAGTTGCATCAGTCATACCTTCTCCTCAGAAGCCTACAGCTCCTTCTGTAGTATCCAATTCTGCTGATCTTCACAAGAAAACCGTTTCGCTGCTCGAGGAATACTTCAGCGTACGGATTCTTGCTGAAGCTCTACAGTGTGTAGAGGAGCTGAAAGCCCCAGCTTATCACCCAGAGGTTGTTAAAGAATCCCTTATCATAGCACTTGAAAAGATTCCACCATGTGTAGATCCAGTTGTTAAGCTTCTTGAGCACTTGCTCCACAAGAATGTCTTTACTGCAAAGGATATTGGCACGGGGTGCCTTCTATATGGGTCATTGATGGATGATATCGCCATCGATCTACCGAAGGCACCAAACAATTTCGGTGAGATTCTCGGGAAGCTAATATTGATCGGGGGCCTGGATTTTGCGGTCGTGAAGGAGATTCTTAAGAAGATGGAAGATAACTACTTCCAGAAATCCATTTTTGGTGGTGCTATGAAGAGCCTCAACTCTAGCCCTTCTGGAGAGGGAATTCTGGCAACTCAAAGTGCTGAGATCCAGGCATGTGAAACTTTACTTGCATGAATCGAGTCACGTGGGATTGATTTCCCTTTACGTTTTTGATAAAAAAAATTTCATTCCATGTTTACGTTCCCATTGCAAAAGACAAATAACTGATCATTTATATTGAGTTGTATATTTCTTCTTTTTTTGGGTCATATCAAGTATCAACTTTGTTGAGTAATTAGGAGCAAAAGTTTCTTGTGCTTCTCTCGCCCGCTCAGCTCATCGAAGACGTCTCGGGTGGCTTGAGAATAACAGGAATTCATGATGGGTCCAGTTACATTAGATTTTGAAGTTATATGATGTACCAAATACATTGCTTGTTGTACTTTAGCCCTTATGTGGCCCCTCAGTTTTCACCTTAATAATCTCTGTTTTGCTGTTTCCTTTCCTCCTTTTGTTCCTTTTTCAGTTCGCCTATTGAATGAATATTATAATGAAAGGTTCATCGTTTTGGATGGCATCTGAGGACTTGCTTTGAATTTTGATTTCTTTTTCCAAGTAGGTTCGATTATCATTTTAGTTTATGTAATTTGTGTTGGATTTTAATTTGTTCTTAATCAGTCTCTGTTTTGTTATAATATTTTCGAAAATATCTTAAAACTGCTTTTAATTAGTATAACTATACTCTTAAAACTACTTAAGAAAAAAAAAAGCATGATTTTGTAAGAGATAATGATATGAATGTGTGATACACCAGACTTGCATGTTTATAATATAAGTTCAGCGAACCACAAATCCCGAATAGAGTTTTAAGAAATCATACTTATCCACTATATATGTTATAGTAATAACTAAACAACGTAAAGTTCAAATATCAACATTTACGGGTCACAATACATTCCTAACCTTAGTTACAAATGTCAAACATTCTAATATTTATGAGTTCAACCTTAATTTCGGGTTTGTTGGGTTGACTCGACAAAAAAGAAGAGTAAACCTATGAACTAACCGAAATATTCAATTTCTAAAATTTTAATCCAACTCAAACTGGAGAGAAAAAAAAAAAAATATATCAAACTCAACCTAACTTTTATAGTTTGAGTTGGGTAGTTCAAGTTGGTTGAGTTCTCGAGTCATTTGGACACCCTTTAGTGGAATTTTCACGCCTTCATTGAATTTAAACTATAACTGCCAAATACTTGTAGCTCCCAATAATTTCCAGGATCAGTGCAACTTGATGATCATGCTAAGGTGCTTTTGGTACGATTGATTTCCTCTAAGTTGTACATTTTCCCCTTCCCTTCTTTTTGCTTATGAGAGGGAACATTTGTATAACCTAATTTAATCCTTAAAGATTTATACAGTTTATGATGTTACGATATATAGATATATGCTATAGTTTATGTCAGAAATAATGTTCTCCAACAGTCACTAATCAAGGTCTGCTCTAAAAAGCCAGACTTTGAAGCAACCAAAATGGGCAAGAAAACAGATAAGTGCCATCACTTGTATTCCTGAATCTTAAAGAACCCTCTTCAAATATGTACAATTTGTACTCTCCATAGTATGCATGATATTTCAAGATGGATTAGGGAGCTGTGCGTACGTACCGTCGTTGGGGTTGCAGCCATCGACCATCATGTTCTTGTAGACTGTATAAGCATGCTCGGGGTTCCCCGACACGCTGTACCCTCGAATGAGAGCGTTATAAGTAAAAACATCTGGTTCTAGCCCTGCAAGTTGAAGCTCTTCATACATCCTCTCGGCTTCTTCCACCATTCCAGCAAGCCCAAGATAAAGCAACATTGCATTATATGTGTGCAGGTCAGGAACAATGCCTCTCTCTCGCATTTCGCTGTATAAAGCGAGCGCTTCCTCCATCCTCTGCGATTTTCCTAGACCGTTTATTATACGATTATAAGCGATAAAGTCGGGATCAAGACCGGATGATTTCAGCTCCTCGAAATAGTATAAGGCTTCATCTACTCTTCCAGCAAGGCAAAGGCATTCTACCAGAATGGTGTATGACTTCAAGTCTGGCCTTACACCCTCCTTCACCATCCTTTTAAACAAGTGATGAGCGATGTCTATGTCACCTGTTTTCCCATATCCATTTATCAGAATGTTGAATATTGCACAGTTTGGCTTGCATCCATAGTCCGGCATCTCTTCGAAGAGCTGCATCGCTTCCTCTAAGCGCCCCGCTTTTGCTAGTCCGTCGAGCAGAGGGCCGTACGTACAAGGAGTGGGGCAGAAATCACTACTAACAAGATCATAGTAAAAATCTAAAGCTTTATCCAAGTTATTAGATTTTGCAAGGCTGGAGATAACGATGTTGTAAGTTATGACGTTTGGCTTGCATTTCCTCGAAACCATCTCATTGTACAGTTCAAAAAGTTCGGCGATCTTCCCCGACTTTCCATGAACATCGAGCAACATGTTGTAGGTAAAAGTATCAGGAGCACAGGCGGCGTTCTTCATATCCTGAAACAGATCCCAGGCCTTTTCGGTGTAATGAACTTCAAGAAGCTCACCTATCAAACAATTATATGATGCCACTGTCGGTTTGATTTCGAGATTCGTCGTGAAGTTCTCAAATATTTGATAAGCATAAAGTGCTCTCTTTTGCTTACACAAAACTCTAATTAGAGGTATCAAGAATGAGTCTTCCCTGCAAATCCCATTCAATACCAATTCTTCAGCAAATATAACAGCCTTGTCTATCTCAGCTTCAACCAAAGTTCCTCCCATTAAATCTTCCCAAAAGGATCGATTTACACGAAACTGGACCTGGTTGATGAAATCCTTTGCAATCTTTATAGCATCCCCTATCCGCCCGCTCTTCACGATACCGGGAAGGAGGGTACATATTGTGACATGATCGGGGTACATTGATTTCTTCAACTGGTGGAAGAACCAGAATGCATAATTTACTCTGTTTTCTTTGATCAGGCCATAAATAACAGTGTTGTATGTCAAGACATCAGGTTTACAGTCCATTTCTGTCATTTTAGAAAACATTTCCAAAGCCAATTCAATCTCGTCGTTTTTGCAAAAGCAATCCAGGAGCGTGTTAAACGATATCGTGTTCGGAGAACACCTTTGCTTAATCATACTTTCGAATAATTCAATGGCTTTCTGGACTCGACCCTCTTTCCCTAATCCAGAGAGTAACGTATTATACGTCACAACTGTTGGAGAAAGCTTCATGTCCTTCATTCTGTCGAACATTTTCCATGCTTCATCAACTCGTCCCGCCTTGTAAAGTGAATCGATCAAAGAGTTAACCACAATCACATCAGGTTCACATCCATTTTTTATCATCTCGAAAAGTAAATTCACGGCGTCGTCTACTTGTCCTACTTTGCTGTAGCACTTCATCATCATGTTATAGGTCACTGAATCTGGAGCAAGACCATTCTCTCTTAGCCCATTGAACATGTTTTTTGCTTCTCTCAACCTCCCCGTTTCAGCAAGGCTATACAACGATGCATTGCACGCTACGATATTTGGAACGATTCCTCTAGCTTTCATCTTCTCAAAGGTCTCAACAGCTTTGCCAGTATCTCCGGACTTTCCAAAATAGTCGATAAAAATAACGTACGTATAAGCAGTCGGCTGAACACCTAAGGATTCCATGGTATCTAAAAGCTTTAGTGCATCCTCAATTCTACCTGCCTTCAGAAGTCCACAAATAAGTGTGTTATAAGTATGAAGATTTGGCAAGATGCCTTGCTTTCTCATGACATCAAAGGTAGCGAACGCCTCATCGAAGTCTCTGGCTTTGCATAAGGTGTCAACGAGAATAGTGAAGGTAACGACATCGGGCATATATCCATCAGCTTCCATCTGACTCCAAAATTCTTTGACAGTGTCCAGATCTCCAAAATCATTGAACTTATCTAACAAAGTAATGTAGATTACTTGATCAGGTTTGTGACCATTAGCTTTCATCTTCACAAACAACTCCTTGGCACTTTCCAACCGTCCTGCATTACAAAGAGCGTCGATGAGGACTGTATACGTAACAAGGTCGGGTCCACAACCTTCCTCGTCCATTCTCCTAAATATCTCATACGCCTCGTCGATTTTCCCAGCCCTCCCTAGCACTCTAATGCATATTGTGTAAGTGTAAACATTTGGTCTTAATCCCAAACTTTCCATCTCCTTCAACAGAACCATTACCGTTTCCGAGTCCCTCTTCTTTCCCAACGCAACCATAAGAGCCGAATACGTCTTCAGGCTCGGCTTAAGCCCTTCTGAAACCATTCTTCTATAAACTTCCAAGGCCTCGCTACAGAATCCTGATTGAATCAACAAATGGATCAATCCGTTGTATGAATATGCATTCAAGACAAATCCAGCTTTTCTCATCTTCTTTAGCGCAATCGTCACCTGCCGAAGCCCACCTCTGATGGAAAGAGCTTTAAAGATAGTCAAATAAGTGCTTAAATCCCTCCTAATAATTTTCTTCTGCATAAATTCAAAAACAGCAGCCATATCCTCCACCTTCTCATGAACTCTCAAGAATTCAAGCATGAAATTGCACGTCTCAGTGGTATGCTGAACACAAGGAAAATCAGGTATAGAGTAAAAATAAGAAAGAGCATGCGTAGTATCCGTCATCGATTTCAAAGCCCGAAGAATTTCCTCTTCGGACACTGGAATTTTCGTCTTCTCTTTTACCGCCACCGTCACTTCCTCCGGATTTTGCAACGCAAACCGGCAAACATTCTTCCGCTTCTTCCTGTGCTTCTTCCAATTCGCCATAGACAAAGTCGCAGTTCGAAAACCCCCCAGATTTTCCGATATCAATCCTCTCGATGATCCACTACAACTAGAAGCGGATATCTGACAATTACTAAAAGCACCATTGCAACAAGTGCTGAACATACTCAAAGAGCTAACGATTACAAGTGACATCAGAACATTTCAATCAACAACATGAATGAAGAAGCTGAGTTCCGAAAGGATTCCGATATTGGATGATTGGATGGTTGAGGAACCTCACTCTCCAGAAAGTTAACCAAGTAAATTACATTTACATTACCTTAAAGCCTTCAGAATAGCATTTTCCGGCTGGATTGGAGATGAGTTCCGAAAGAATTTAGATAGAAGTCGGAAACTGCAAGCCTCAATGGGCTCCTGAGATATGCAACTCCTCTGCGGTTTGGCGCTTTTGGATATTTTGTATTTGTGCGAAGCCTATGGCCATGGTTTTTCATTTCTTCGGGAATGGATGATATTTTTTTTGCTCGGCTGCCCTCCGGACCTAAATTGGAAAAGCCACCTATATATTAATGTATTATAAAATAATTAAATTTCGTGTTTTATAAAACCTAAATTAACAATTTTGCATTTTATCTTAAAAAATATATATTTTCAAAGATTCAAATTTTTTAATAATACTCTCACATATTTTAAAAAAATTAAAAAAAAAACTTTCC